TGCCTGCCCTCCTCTGTCCTTTCCCTCCCATAGGCGTTGAGCTTGTTTGTCCTGCAAAATACACATTGTGCATCAGCTTTCTGTGGCTGGGACAAATACCTGGGATAATATCAACTTAAAGGAGGAAAGATTTATTGAGATTTATAATTTCAGAGGTTTCCATTCTGTGGTTTTGGTCCTATGACAACACAAAACAATGATGGCAGGAAGCCTATGCTAGAGCAATCTGCTCACTTCCTGGTGGCCTTCCTCTAGGAAAGAGGGACAGGGAGAGCGTGGGAGAGAAGGTGCTAGGATCCCAGTATGCCTTCACAGGCATGTCACTCAGTGATATAACTTCCATCATGTCCCAACTCTTATTAAAGGGTCTACTTACTCCCAATATTGCTACAGGCTGTCCACCAAGCCTTGCAGAAGTGGCTATTGGGGGATATTTAAGACCCAAATCTTAACAGCAGCCCTAATCTTTTTTCAGTGTCAGCTTCCTATGAAATCTAATCTGCAACATAATTCCACATGTATCCACCTCTATCATCTCTATTCTAGTGTAGACCACTCCTTTCTGCAGTAGGCTCCCATCTCCCTGTTGCTTCTCTTCACCCCTACCATCCCTTTTCCTCATCATTGTCACTAATATTCAATTTGTTCAATTTCTTTCTTTTTTTATAATATTCAGTTCAATTTATTCTCTTATTTTATTTGATTAAAATGGAATATACACATTTATCTACATATTATTTATCATCTATCTATCTACCTATCTATCTTCTATGCACACATACACACATAAATGAGGAAGTATGCATAAATGAACCTGTGAATCCTGTGACCCATCCCCCAAATCTCTGGGCGAATTGAAGTAGTTTGCAGGCCTTTCTCCGATTGCCATCCCTCTCTACTTATCTTCAATGAATTCTAAACTCTCCAGAATTATATTGAATTGTGTTTTATCATTTCTGTGCTTTTTTCCTTCACTAAACAATATACAGTTTAGCTCTGCTTGTTTTTGACATTTATAAAAATAGAAACTTATTCTACTCTTTCTAACTTACTTCCCCTGTCCCGTCCCCGACTCACCACTGTATTTCTAGTGTAATCACCCTTGGTGATGCTTGTAATTGCAGTTTAGTCCTTTCCATGCTTGATGGTACTATTAATTTAATGTTTTAAATGTTATTTATTCTTTTGAACTTGGAGTCTGGGCACTGTCCCTGAGCTCTTTTGCTCAAGGCTAGTGCTCCACCACATTGAGCCTGGGCTTCACTTCCACTTTTCAGGTGGTTAATTGGAGGTAAGTCTCACGGACTTTCCTATCCAGGCTGGTTTAGAACCGCAATTCTCAGATTTCAGCTTCTGAGTAGCTAGGATTATAGGTGTGAGCCACCAGTGGCCAGCATTAATTATTTAAAAAATAAATTGTGAACAATCTATATTTTATCTCTTCATTATTGATTTATTGATAAACATGTAGGTTTTCCTTTTTGTATGTGTGTGCTTGTCTTTTGAGATAGGTCTCTAGGCTCACCTTGAATTCAATGTAGCCTGGCTGGCCTTTAACTTGGAATCCTCCTCCCTCAACCTCTTGAGAACTGGGATTACAGACATTTGCTGCCATGTCTGGCTTGGATTTTGCATTTTTTATAAATGTTTTTGGTGCTTATGTGTAAGAATTCCTACAGCATGTATACTGGGAATAAAACTAAGCAATTTACTGTATACGAATGTTAGATTTTATACAATAATTCCCAACCTCTTTGTTTTTCAAAGTGATTGTAACAAATTTTACTCTCTTCACTAATTCTAAATCTGAATGCTGTACAACCTTACCAGGGCTCATAATTGTCAAGTCTTTAGTTTATGATAATCGAATTGCCTCAGTTTATACTTTTTAATAATGAAGTTTAATATGTTTTCATGCTTGTCATTTGTTATTTCCTTTTTTGTTGGTTTCCTATTCAGCCATGGGGCTTGAACTAGGGGCCTGGGCCCTGTCCCTCAGCTCTTCACATCAAGGCTAGCGCTCTACCACTTGAGCCACAGCATCACTACCAGCTTTTCTGTTTATGTGGTACTGAGGAATCGAAACCAGGACCTCATGCAAGCCAGGTAAGCATTCTACCACTGAGCTACCTTCCCAGCCCCTTCTGTTGATATTTTTGTTGTTGAATTTTTCTTCTCTTCCTCTCTTTTGAGTTTTTAGAGAGTCATTTCTTTTTTGTTTGATGGTATTGGGGTTTGCATTCAGGGCCTTACACTTGGTAGTCAGGCACTCTAGCACTTGAGCTATACCGCCAGATCCTTTTTGCTTTGTGTGTGTGTGTGTGTGTGTGTGTGTGTGTGTGTGTGTGTGTGTGTGTGTGTGTACTGGAGCTTGAAGTAAAAGCCTCCTACTCTTGCTTAGCATTTTTGTTCAAGGCTGATGCTCTACCACTTGAGCCACACTTCTGCTTCTGGCAAGTGTCAGACTTTTCTGCCTGGGTTGGCTTCAAATCTCTAATCTCAGCTTCCTGAGTAGCTAGGATTACAGGTGTGGGCCAGCAGTGCTCTCTCTGTAGCCCATGTTGGCCTTGAATTTAGCCGCTATAGTGCTGCGATTATAGATGTGTTTCATCACTCTAAGCTCTATTAGTTTTCAGTCTCACTTTAGTGAATATATAAAAGATTGACTCAAATGTGCCTAAATGTGGCTACAAGAGGCCCTAGAGTTGTAGATCAGTTCTCCACGTGCATGTTTGGCATTAGCTGATTAGTGTCTGCTATTGACAAACTTTTTAGAATGCACTACTCAGATTTTCTGAAGACAATTACTTCAAGTGAACCATCAGCTCACATCACATCACTGGACAAACAGACCCCAAATACATGGAATATGTATGATACCACCAAGCATTCTTTTAAGTAATAAAATCTTGTTTTATTTTTATTTTTATTTTTTTACAGAAATTCAGGTATTCCAACAAATTTCTTTACATTTCCTGGACCTTAAAAAAAATTACACACAACTTTTGACAACACAACAGAACAGAATGAGAAAGGGAGTCACCTTTTAAAAAAAAGATAAAAACATACTTCATATACTTAACATTTAGTGATTTACATGTGTATTATCTATGTACAAATGGTACATCGTCAATGACTCATCTTTATAGCACTGTGGTATGCTAAATTACACTTAGGTATTATGGCAAAAACTTTTTAAACCATTAGCATGTAAATAGGAAGTACTTTACAATTTTTTTGTTATCACCACTATCAGTGATGTAGCATTCCTGATGGACTCTGTAATTTATCTGGATTGGAGAAAGGCAATACCTTCTGCTTTTGTTGTAGATAGACACCTCCCTTTAGTTAAAAAGATGAATTCTTGAAAAGTTGTGTGTAATTAAATTTATTGAGTAGGATGGTCTGAATGCAGTAGGGTAGCTAAAACTTAAAGCAGTAGATAACCACCAGGATGACCAATACTTTAGTTTATTCCCTTAATATAGTTCTTTAGAAAAGCCATATCTGTGAGTTGGGTTTTATTTATTTGAATATTCCTGTAAGGTACTTCTAGCCATCTGAAACATTATTCTGCTTATGATGAAAACATGGCTAGTACTAGAAAATTTTAGCTAAAAAATCAATGTGAGTTGTCAACTCTGAATAACACATGTGTTATTCTCCCTCAGATATTCTGGAAGGTATATGCTAATTTGATTTTACTTCTCAGCTTGTGAGTAGAGGCATTTTATAAAGACCTGTTCTTTTTTTTTTTCTCCTTAGGTATAGAATGTGGCTGGCTTCCACTGAGTATCTCTTTAGTGTGGGATGAAATGTGGGAATGCCCGGGACCAAAGATTGTTGAAGGCAACTTGATAGTTGTAACTACTTCCAAATGCCGGCAAACAAATAAAAATCAGAATTTTCCAAACCAACATTAGTAAACAAAAAGGTAACTTATTTATCCTACCAAGTTTCTTTGACCTGTATAAGTATATAGTCATTTATTTCTAAGGCTATTAAATTACTGTTTATTTTGTTAGTACCACTTACTATCATTTAGAAATAGGTTTATTGGAATAATTAAAAATAATGAATGCCTTTCAGTAAGGGAAATAAAGGGTATGGACTTCTGATGACATGTATGGCAAAGAAATGGGAAAAAAGTGAGGTGTTTTAGCTGTCTATTTATAAAGTATGTTAAATCCCTATGCATATACTAAGGAGAATTAGAAAAAAGTGTTTGATAGCAGCCTATATATTACATGAGAGCATCCAAGGTGAAAATGAGCTTTCTATTTTTTCAGAGTTCCTCGATGCTGTTTCCTGAAAGAGAGGGAAATCTAAATTCGTGGGAGCCTATGATGTAAAGATGTACTTCCTGTAATATACAGCTTGATGGAGTAATAGTATATGTCAGAAACACTTCCTCAGTAATAACTCGTACAGACAGATTAAACCGAACACAGACTTGGTTAAAAAGTTCGAAGCGTTACATCTCTTAATAACTGAGTGGTTGTAACTAATGACACAGTGAAATAAATGAACAATAGAGATGGAGAACCAAAGGTCAGAGGCATTTTCTAAGATGCTTCCTCAATCATGACACTTGATTAGCCTCTTGCCTACTGAGATAGGAATAATCTAGAACGAACTGCCCTTCTCTTTTCTTTTTTATCCTATTGAAAGATTAAAGCTTTTTGTTTTCAGTTTGATTCAAAAAGGGCAGTTTAACAAACCTCCATACTTATGTATGTTACATATGAATTCTAGCATGTTTATATCCCTCTTCCTTAAAATATTTCCTGAATATGCTTTTTCATGAATGTTATCCGATCGTATCCAATGACAGTTTCCAATGAGCTGGTGTTTAATCTCTTTCCAGAAAAATCACTCCCATCTCTGCAGATCTAGATGTAGAAGGTGCTTTGCCGAGTGGATATTTCACTCTTCCATATTCGTCTCTAGACTCTGATCTCTCCCAAGCGTCTTCCTTCTTGATGTTGATGTACAAAAGCTGTTATTCGATTTGTTTAGCTGTTATTTGATTTTTTTTTGTGCTCATTCTAGAGAATATTGGCTTAGCAGAACTGCAGAAAGGGGAGAAAAAAGGGTTGGGGGAAGAGAGAAAAAAAGATGCATTATTTTCTGTCCGAAAGATTTTTTTTTTGTCAATCGTGGGGCTTGAACTCAGGGCCTGGGCACTATTCTTGAACTTTTTTGCTTAAGGCTAGTGCTCTACCACTTTGAGCCACAGCTCCACTTCTGGTTTTCTGGTGGTTAAATGGAGATAGAAGTCTCATGGACTTTCCTGTCCAAGCTGGCTTTGAGTCATGATCCTCAAATCTTAGCCTCCTGAGTAGCTAGGATTACAGGCATGAACCACTGGTGGTGAGTTTTCAGGAAGATTTTTATGCACAATATTAATAATGGAGGAAACAACAAACGATCCAGGTTTGCATTAGATTTGTTACAAAAAAAGGGGCTGAAATGTTTGAGTATTCAGTTCCCAGCAAGAGGTCTTTCCTCAAACTCAAGCATTCCCTTCATCAGGGTCAAGCAAGATTATACAGGCTACTTTGAAGGAGCAAGGAAGAACTAAGAATGGTCTCAAGCCTCATGATCCTGCCTAGCACAGAAGGCATCTCCTTTGAGTATTTCCTTCTCCTTTCCAAGTTTTATTTATTTTATACTCAACATTATAACAGCGATGAGAGAAATGGTTACATGAATCACCCACAAATCTAATCGGCTTGACATACCAAATGTTTTCTCCCCATGTTTCTTTCTATTCTTTATGTAAATGAATACTTATCTTACACAATTGAATCAAAGTATAAATAACATTTTGATGTTTCAAATATTATGTTACACATACACATCATCAGCATCAATTAATAGTGGGCATATAACATTTCATTCTGTTCTTTTTCATTCCATGTGGATAATCCATTTTCAATTACTTCACTATTGTCAGATACATAGAGCTTTCCCTTCCCTCCCTCCCTCCCTTCCTCCCTCCCTCCCTTCCTCCCTTCTTTCCTTCCTTCCTTCCTTCCTTCCTTCCTTCCTTCCTTCCTTCCTTCCTTCCTTCCTTCCTTCCTTCCTCCCTCCCTCCCTTCCCTCATTCCTCCCTCTCTTCCTCTTCCTTTTTCTCCTCTTCCTCCATCTCTTGCTCCTGCTCCTTTTTTCTCTGTCTCTCTCTTCCTTTTTCTCTTGTTTTTTTTTTTTTTAAATTTACTTTATTGTTATTATAGCGATGATGTATAGAGGGGGGATTATATTTACATGTCTGGTAATAAGTATATTTCCTTTCATACAGTATCTCTCTTTTGGTTTTTGATACATTGTCTCACTATGTAGCTCAATCTGGTCTCAAGTTTGTGATCCTTCTGCCTGAGCCTCCCCAGTGCTGCATAGATTTGATGTCTTTGCTATTATAAACAACTAGCATCTTCATATATAAAGACCTATTTGCTCTTTAGGACAAATCTTCAGGGAATAGCGAGTTTCCCTATTCTCCAGTATCCTGCCTGCATCCCTATAATGAGACCACAAGTTGTATGCTCATCCCCATTCTATCACAGACACTGGCATGGTTAACCAGGGTTCAAGGATACCTTATATATGGTAAGGATGGGCAAATGCACCCAGTTGGCCATGGCATGGCAGATTTGGGTTAAAAGGAGACATTCTGCTTGGTTTTGCATCACAGAGCACATTGAATTACTGTAAGACTAGCTTATGGTTTCTGCGTGTGTATTAGAGAAGATTCTGTTATTTTCAATGCTTTCCCTCTTGTTTTCTATTGTACTATAAAAGGTTATTTGCACATTATGTTCTTAATGAACTTGTCTCACTAAAAGAACTCAACAGTTACTTTAATGTACCCAGACTACACAGGGGATAATTTAAATGTGATCATGTCATAATGATGATTAGTCTGTAATGATGCTTTGAGATTCATGCTGGTGGAAGGGCTATGGAAGAGAACGCTTTCTTCAGACAACATTAAAAGCAGTATCAGCAATCCTTGGATTTTTCCACAGTGTAATGGGTCAACCTTGATTGCTCTGCCCTGCTGCCTTCAAGGTCCTTCCATCTGCTGGAACCCAAAATCAGGCTTGTGAATCAACAATCCCACCATTTTAGCATTCCTCACGAGGAATATTTTTCTACTTGGCATCACACAATTGAATGTCTGCCTATTCCAGCAGGATAGTGACAGGTACTAGTTAAGGACAGGAGAAAAGGAGGCATAGAGGGCGTGTCTGTAAGCATAAGAAAGAAGAATATTAAAAAAAAACCCAAGTGAGTGTCAATAAGGGGAAAGGATAGAGTGTGGAAGTACTTGGGGCTGTCTTTTGGTGTGGCAGAAGGGAAAAGGGGGCCAAGAAGGGCATCCCCGCTGTTCTCAAACAAATGCACTTCTACTTGAACCATGCTTCCAGCATAAATGTATTCAGAATTCCACACTAGAAAAGCTTGCTTTGAAGTAAAGCATTTATTGGCACCCGTTAGCCAGAGACTCCCTGTTTCTCCTTTCACTCTAAGCTGCCAGGATTGGCTTGATGACATCATGGGATGAAGGAATAGCACGAAGTAGCAAGGTAGGAAGTGCTTGTGTTTAATGCTGGATACCAAGTAGGGTAAGACCCATCCTCAGTGGGCTGGGCTGGGAGTCTTAGATCAGCCCCCTAAAACAGTGATGCTCACATCTGGGAGGAGAAGGGAGCTTCCTGCAGGGTAGACATCTCATTGTAAAGATCCTGAACTCTCTTGCTGGAACAGAACCTCTGTGGCCAATGTCACAAGGACTGCCTGCTCTCACCTGCCAATCAAATGGACCACAGTCCAGGGCTTGACCTGGGCAGGCCACTTATCAATAACCCATCTTGGATCTGCTCTGGTTTTGGGTCATCTATGGCATCTATTTAGCCAAATCTTTCATTGGATCCCTCATTGCAATCTCATCACTGATGATTAGTCAATCCTTGGAGCTCTCTTCTTTGTGGAACAGCTATATCATAAATAGTACACTATTTATGATATAGCTGAGGCAAATGGAAAAATAACAGCATGAAGCCAGTGAGCAGGGGTTTGACTCAGGTTAAAACAACTGAGATACGTGGGGTTCAGAACCCCTCCCTCTTTATGACCCTGCCCTGAGTGCAGGCTGCTCATCCTGACGACTGGTGGGAACTTTGAGTCTGAGTGACTTAGGCCCCAAGGTATTTTTCTGCCTAGTGCACAACAACACCAGGAAATAAGAGCCTCAGGGCTTATGAGGGTTGCTGCTGCTAGGCTAAAAATAACCTGGATATTGGTTCCAGTTCAGAACACAACACTCTACATAATACTGGGAAGACACTTGGCTGGGGAGTGAAATTAGAATGCCATCATCATTACTTAGATGGCGTGCACAGTGTTAGCTTTTCAAATAGACCCATGAAGAGAGAAGATGGAAGCAAATAAAAGGCAGGATTTTCTTCTCCCCATGTTGCCATCATTCCTTTTGTTTTAAGACTACGAGGCATCAGGATAATCTGCAGAATTTGGTGGAAGCCTCAGTGTGGCTACTCTGTAATCACTGCCTTGTAAAACATTCTGCTCTTTTCAAAACTTTTGCTAACATTTTCCATGCACTATGGATATTGCTCATCAGGGAGGCAATTTAAAAGATGTCACATTTTCCCAGGTTTGAACAGAGAAGAACAGAATAAATAAGTCATTCAGAGCTGCTTTGGATCTTTGTTCAGGCAGGTTTGACCTTGTAACATGTCATGGGCTCTGAGCTGCCCATGTTCCATTTCCAGGGGGCTCTTAGCCAGTCCTTTCTGAAACTGTCATTTAAATCACTGCTCATGAGAGCAGCATTTATAATGGTTGCTTTGTCCAGACTAGCTAAATGCTACTATGTTGAATCTTCTGTGTTTGCTCATGGTGAAAGGTCTCCTGTGGCTTCGTTTCTGCTGATTATTCCTTTCTGGCCTATTTCATTATGGTCTGGAGTCTCACAGTCAAGATAGTTGTACGTGAAGGTTAAGTAGTGGGGTAGAAGGAAAAGTAGATGGGTGGCAGGCACTGTCTGAGTGAGAAGAAGGCTTGGTAGAAGCTGCTAGGTTTTTGGCAGAATGACCAGCGAATCCCTGTTCTGATCACAAATGAGGGAAGGAGTCAAGATCATTTTTTATTGGCTAAATAGGCATAGCCATTTTCTCCCATTTTGAACTTCATCCAACTATAATGGGGACTTTAGATACCCTTCATCACCTAGAAGCAGAATATGTCACCATCTATGACTCTGTGTCCTTAGGTATTCATCATGCTGTAGCATATGACAGAATTTCCTTCTTTTAAAAGGCTACATAAGAGCCCACTGCATGTAACACATTTTGTTCATACAATGAACAAACACATTTTTTCTAGCAATGAAATTTGGGTTGCTTCAGCCTATGGGCTATTGTGAATAATGCTACAGAGGTATGCAGGTATCTTGTGTGTGCGTGTGTGTGTGTGTCTGTGTTTATATGTGTGTGAAAGAGAGAGTGAGAGGAGAGAGGGAGAGAGAAAAAGAGAGAATGTGTATTTACTAGGGCTTAAACTTGCCCTTGAGCTCTGGCTTTCTTTTGCTCACAGAGGTTGCTCAATCACTTGAACTATATCTCTGCTTCCAGCTTTTTGCTGGTTGTTTGGAGATAGAGTCTCTTAGATTTTTTTTACCCCTATTGTCTTTGAACCTTGATCTTCAGAACTCAGTCTCCTGAATACCTAGGATTATATATGTGAGCTTCCAGTGCCCAGATGCTGTGCAAATATTTTTGAGATTCTGTTTTCAATTCTGTTGGATATCTATTTATCTATATTGTTGCATATATGTATATGTCATATGTTAGCCTTTTCCTGTGGTTATTGAATCATTTTGTAATTCCCACCAACAGAAAAAAAAAAGTTCTATTTCAGTAATTTTTGTTACTTTCTGGTTTCTCTAAATGGGTGTAAGGTAATATCTGTGTGTGTGTGTGTGTGTGTGTGTGTGTGTGTGTGTGTGTGTGTGTGTGTGCGTTTTGTGCTAGTCTTGGGGCTTGAA